CTTTGTCGCCGCTGTCACCATTCCGCGAACATATCCGCCTTATTTCTCCGGCGCAGAAATTTAAAACAAATCGTTTGGGATACGTTTCCCACCCATCCGTGATTCGGAAAACCCAGCAAAGTCCGGCGGATCCGGAGTCAGGGCAGGAAGCCTCCGGAGGCCCCTGCAGCAGGGGAACGCCACCGTCGAAAGCCTTCCGAGAGCACCCGAAAGCCTCCCCCGTTCGGTCCACGAGGGGCTGCCGGGCACAGCTCGCCGCAGGGGCATGGCTGGACACGCTCTAGGCTACCTGCGGACTGACGCGACGACGGCGACGACGGCGGCGGCGGCGGCGACGACGACAACGGCGACGGCGACGATGACGGTGGCGGCGGTGGTGACGTCGGACAAGCACAGCGGATCCGGAGGAATGCCAGAGAGGCACCACCCGCCAAACCATCCCAACCCAACCCGAAGGCTTGGTTCAGTTTGCCCTCGATTCCCAGCAGGGGGGCAGGTCGGGGAACACTTGGGAGGGAAAGAACACAAGAACACACACATGCAGCCCGTACCCCCCCATCCCGAAATTCGGGTCTTCGGGTTGGGTTGGGGTGGTCTGGTAGGCAGCCAGAGATCCCCCCCCCCGGCGTCGCGCAGGAGCTGCAGCGCGCTGCAGTGGAGGCCGCGGGCCAGAAGGCCCTCCACGAGGCCGGCTGCCTTGCGGGGGGCGGGCGCGCCGAAGACGGCCTCCCAGCGCCTCACAGTCCCAGACCTCGCGGCCGCAGGCTTTCGGACCTTCCCGTCTGTTCTCATCGGTTTTCCAGCCTCGGGGCGCCTTCCAGCAGCTGCGCCACGCCGAGAGCGTTCTGGGGGCGCCCGGACCGTTCCGCACGGCTGCCGGAGAGGCGAGTTATGACCCGAAGACCACGGGGATCCCCTCCTCCCTCGACCTCAAGCGTATTGAGCAGCATCTTATAGACAGAGGTCTTGCGTCGCCTTCGGCGTCTGGGGGCCCTCGGCGGGCCCTGGGACCGTCAAAGAGCGATGCGGGACGAAGAAGCGGTCCCCGAAACAAGTGGTCCCGAGCTCTGGGGGCCCGCATTGGAAAAATCAAGGCATCGAAGGTCTGCGGCCCCTTCCAGGGCCTCTCCGAGCCTCCCAGCGCCTCCCATCGATCCGATTCCGACTCCGTCGGTGCGGCCCGATCCGACGCACGCTCCGATCCGATCTGAGTCCCCGATTCGATGCTGACTGATCCTGCCCAGTGCACCGGAGGCGATCTCGGAGCCTCCGGGGGCCTCCCGCGCCTTCCCAGGGGCCTCTCCGCGGCAGGGGTCCGAGGTCTTGCCGGCCGTGCCCTTGTCCTTGCGCCGGGCTGGGGGGCCGCGGCGCGCGGGCGCAGGACGTGTGTTGTCACCCGCTCCGAGCGGATCGTTCGATTGCCCCTCCCGCGTCCTCGTCTTACTACCCCTGCGAGCTCTCCTAGCGCCTCGCGCCTCCCTCCTCCCACCTCCTCCCCCCTCGATCCCTCCTCGTCCTCGTGGTCCTCCCCTTCCTCCTCATTTGGCGGTATCGTGTTTTTCGTGTTCCACGAGCTTCTTGGCTGGCTCCACGGATGGGCCTCCTGTCCCTCGTAACCGCGCTGCTCATTGTTTTCAGGGGGCGCATCTTTTGTACCATATCTTTCTTGTGATGGCGGTACCCCTGGTAATCTCCTTCCTCCTCCCCTCCCCGCCCCCTGCCCCCCTTCTTCAGGCAACTCGTGGCACCGCCATGCGTGTCGGGAGGGAGGGCTGGGCATGTCGCCTGCGTCTTCCACGAGGTATGCTATCCGCACGGAGGGCGAGCCGTCTTCAAAATGTTGCTATCGCACCAGCGCTGCGCGCATCTGCCTCGAAAGATTTCAACGGTTGCACGGATGGAGGGCAGGTTCATTTCAAAGTGTGGTTCTGGCCCCAGCGCAGCGCACATTCGCCCGAGAAGCTCCCGGCAGCTGATGCACGAATGGAGGGCGGGCTGGGGCTCATCACAGTGTGGCTCTTGTCCAGGCACCGCGCACGTTCGTCTCAGAATGCTCCTGCAATTGTGCGGATGGTGGTGCGTCAGTCGGCTTTCAAAATGTGGTTCTCACCCCACCGCCCGCACGCTCGTCTCAACAGGTCGCACGGCCACACGGATGGACGGCAGTTGTTTCTCGAGGCGGGGTTGTTGGTTTAGAATACTCAGGCTTAGTTGCCAGACGTCAGACGTCTCAAGTTGTGCAGCAGCCAGTGGGCTGGAGGGTAGCTCCTCTTCAAACATTGGGCCTGTCGCTTGAGATTTCAGTGTTCAGAAGCTTAGATTTGTGCAGCAATTGCACGGATGGAGGGCGGCTCCTTTTCAAAACGGAGTTCTCGTTGCATATCCCAGGACTGGATCAGAATCGCACTTCGTAGCAGTTCTTGTAGCTAGCAGGATGAGTGATGGGTGACGCTTCCTGTTCAAAGCGAGACTCTCACTGGAAAGGCAGGCCCATGCCTCGTTCGTGTTTCAAGGTGGCGCTTTATGTAGTGAACAAGAGCTCTTGCGCGAACTCATGAAGAGGAGATTTGGGACAGGATTCAGTGTGTTGCAGCATGTATGTTGTCTTCTGGGTTTCTCCTGCTCCTCCTCCTCCTCCTCCTCCTCCTCCTCCTCTTTCTAATAGCTGTTCCAAGTTGCTTGCATTCGAGATCATAGCCTTTCCAGGGGTATACGAGGCGACGGCGTCGTCACGGGATGATCCAGAGGCAATCGCTGGTCGGCAGTTATCCCGGAGGGCAAGCCAGCGGTCAGAGAGGCGGCCGGGTGTTTTCCTCTTTCTCATCCTCCTTGTCTTTCGCCCCCTCCTCGCGATCCTTCCCCTCATCCCCCCTCCCACTTCTCCACCCGCCCCTTTCTGCAGGCTGGGGACGAGGTGGAGCGGAGGACAGGGAGGAGAGGGAAGGAGAGGGGAGGAGGAGGAGGAGGAGGAGGAGGAGGAGGAGGAGGAAGAAGAGGAGGAGGAGTGAGGAGGCGGAGGAGCAGGAGGAGGAGGAAGGAGGAGGAGGACGAGGAGGAGGACGAGGAGGAGGACGAGGAGGAGGAGGACGAGGAGGAGGAGGAGGAGGAAGAGGAAGGGGGGAGGGAGGAGGACCAGCACCAAGACGCACCAACGATGTTGCAATAGACCCTCCCTCCAAGTTCCCTCTTCATAGGGCCTTGCGTGCAAGAATTTTCATGCATTATGGGAAGTGCCTCATTGGAAGGCAACCTTCTGAGAATCCCCAATCGTGCCAAAACACCATTCCTGGCATTTCAGCGTTGCGAATCAACGTGGTCTTTGCGTCCTGACAACCCTAAATCGTGCCAGAGCACAACTCCCCGGAATTTCAACACCGCGAATCAACAAAGACTGCTGCGTCGCTGCGTCCTGACAAGTCTAAACCTCGCCAGAAAACAAATCCTGGGAGTTCGACTATGCGAACCCTTGATTATGCGGCAAGCTTTCACAACACGTGTGCGCGGCGCTGAGGCTATAGCCACAGTTTGAACACAAACAATCGCGTTTCATCTTTGAAACGGTTTCATGTTTTAGGCGACTGCGCGCAGCGCTAAGGCGAGAACCACGCTTTGAAAGCCACCCGTGGTTCATCGCTGACACTGGTGCGAACTTTTAAGATGAGTGCGCGCGGTGCTAAAGCGAGGGCCACATGTTGCAAACCATCCGCCCTCCATCCGTGAAATCGTTGGACTTTCAAGACGAATGTGCGTGGCGCGCATGGGAGGACCACAGTTTGAAAACCACCCGCCCTCCATCAGTGAAACTGTTGCGAACTTTTACGTCGATTGTGCGCGGCGCTGAGGTGAGAGCCGCATTTTGAAACTCGCCCTCCATCCGTGAAGTTGTAGCATTACTAAATCGACAGAGCGCGGCTCTGAGGCGAGAGCCACTTTTAAAGAACGGCCCGACCTCCATCCGTGAATCTGTTGCACACATGTTAGCTAGACATATGTGCGCGGCGCTGGGGCGAGAGCCACATTTTGAAAACGGCATGCTCTCCATCCGTTAACGTGTTGCACATTGTAGACGCGTCGTGTAACCCCCCAGCCCATCCAGAAACGATGCCGATGCACAGGCGGGTTGCCCTGATCAGGGATGTGGAGGAGCATGCAGTTGACTGAAAGGCTGGGTAAGAGGTTATACTCCAAGATGGGGGGGATGGAGGACGAACCGGAAGAGGAGCAGGAGGAGGAGGAGGGAGAAGGGGAGGAGGAGGGGGCAGGAGGACGGAGGAGGACTAGGCAGAGGAGGAACAGGCGGATGAGGAAGAGGAGGAGAAGGCGGAGGGCCAGAGGCATCTCGGATGCCTCTCGGAGTCTCTTCGGATGTCTTCGAGATAGTAACCTCTTCGGATGTTTTCCGAGAGGTTCTTGGAGGCCTCTTGTGGCGTTTTGGGGGTCTCTTGGCAGTCCCAGGGGCCTCTCGGGGCGTCTTTGGTGCCTCTGGGTGACCTCTCGGGGCCTCTTCGGGGTCTATTGGGAGCATCTTGGGGGCATCTTGGGGGCCTCTTTGGGGCCTCTTGAGGCCTCCTGGGCACCCGTTGAGGCCGCCTCGGGGCACTCTTTGGAGTCTCGGGGGCCCTCTTGGGGCCATCTGGGAGGTGATCGGTCAACGAAGGAGGAGGTTCCAATTCGCCCCACCCGCCAAGAGGCCAATCTGTGGCCAAAATCTGAGTACAACCAATGAGGTGGGCCTTCTCGCCGAGGCCAACAAAGAGGCTCTGACACCTCGCGAAACGCCCCGTGCAGACCCAGGGGGAGGGGGGAGGGGGGAGGGATCCAGGGATGGTGGGTTTGGGTGGTGTTGTGATTGTTCCTGGTTAGCGGCCAGTCGTCTGGGGGAGTGGGTGTTTATCAGTAGGGAACTGTGATAAACCCTTTCCCGAATTGGAAGAAAGGGGGGGTTGAAGAGGAAGCTCGATGAACCACTCACGCCCTAAAGGGCTGTTGGAGTTCCAAGCTTCAGGATCATATCACCTGGTCTACTAAGCCTCCACGCCACCCAGTCTCTGGGCGGGCCGCCGTCGCCGAATTTGCAAAGTGCACCTAATGTTCGGGACCGCCGCCGCCGCCGCGAATTTGCATGGGTTGTTTGTAAGACTGCCTTCAGCCCACCCCGCTACCGCGCCTGGGCCGTGGGCCAGAGGCCTCGGCGCGGTTGCGCGTTTGCTCCCTTCGAAACAGAATTATGTTGTGCAATTCGTCGCGGTTGCGCGGTTGTTCCTTTTGTGTGGATGTTTCGGGCCTGGGGGGGGTCAGAAGAACTATGTTGTGTAACTCGTCGCGGTGGCATGGAGAGTTCGGGCCTAGGGGGGGTAAACGACGGCGAAGCGTGATATTTCCAGACGTTTCTTGGACATGTTTTGTTACTTATGTTTTCGGTGCGCGCTCGTGGGTTGAAGGTTTCGCTTGGTTTTGGAACCGATTGCGGGCGCTTTCGGATAAGAGAACCGAGGTATTTTTGAATTGGGTTGCGGCGTCGGATTCCGGCTCGTATTTCGCGGCCCGACGATCTTCACATCAAAAGTATATGTGGTAAGAATGTACGCACGCATGCGTGCGAGTTAAGCTCGTCTACATACATTATCTACAACGATATCTTTCCATGCTCATGTCACGTAGTACATATAGTGTGCGCAGAGTCCGCC